TTCATCAATAATGTCATAGAGATACGTCTGGATGCCATTAAGATGGTCACTCTCGAGCGGAGGATGGTTCCCAAGAAAACCAACAATATTGGTGAGAACTGTTGTGAAAAGGCAGGACACTGTGGATCTTGTTAGCATGTTGAGCATTAGTAACACTGCTGCTTCTCCTTAGGTGTGTGGCTAGATATACTAGAGGCTATTGGTGTCTTAGCAGTCATTGTCAATGGGCTGGTCATTGGTGTATCCTCGGACTTCATCCCCCGACTTGTGTACCGTTATCACTACGGCCCGTGTGCCCAAGGCACAGCTGCACCAGATACTGAGTGAGAAGTGCATTTCACTCGAAATTCTATACATTTTGCAATTGGTTGTATGGCTTATATGGTTATATGGCTTTCTTTTACGTTTTTCTTTTTCTCATGTTCAAGTTGTATGGTGGGTTACATCAACAACACTCTTTCCACTGCCCCAATTTTTCATGTGAATGAGTCATATAAATACAGCGAGAACATCCCTCCTGGCGAACAGCCTTCCTTCTGCAGGTTTGTTTTCCTTTAGTTTTCTCTTACAGATTAAGTTTTTGAGTTAAAAATAAATAAATAAAAAAAATCTGATCAAAATCTAGTATGTTCCTTTTGACAGATATAAGGACTACAGGAGTGAAAATGACTACAGTCATACCCATCAGTTCTGGATCATTTTAGCTGCGCGCTTTGCATTCGTCATCTTGTTTGAGGTAAGACCTTTGGACTTTTACAAAGCACGGCACTACATTCACACATTCACCTCTTTCCTGAGCAGTTTTTTAGCATTCTGTTACAATCTCTGGGTTTTGGGTCCAGGATTTGGTACTTGTAACTATTAATTATTAAGGTTTTTGGGTTTTGTCATCCTTTAAGTTTGGGAGAATTTTATACTTTTGTTTGCCTCTCTTTGTATATTTATTTGAGTGATAAATATCTTTTGCATTTTCTGTTACATTCAGATTTTTAGTCTTGGCTTTATAATTCTTACTTACTATCTTTCTTCATCCCTTTGTTCCCCCAGTTAGTCACCCATATTTGTGAGCTCTCTGTGTTTGTTACAATGTGTATCTGCTGGCCCTCTATCAAGTCTGTATGTCATAGTGTTGATAACATTTCCTGTTTTATTGTGATAGTCTGTTACCCAGTGTGTTGTATTTTGGTTTTCTATCTATGATTTGCTTCAGCTGTGCTCCCTGTGTTAGTTTACCGAAGTTCCCATCTTCTATGCATTATTATACACCTTAAATTAAAGGTTGTTGCAAGTTTCAAGTCTGTCTTTGAGTTTGCATTGGGATGCTACTTCTTCCTAACTACAATGCATTCAACACAATGATTTTCTAACTTTGACAGCTTTGAAAAGGTTTTCAGAGCTTAGAGTCGGGCTGTAACAAAACCAAGGTGTATTAAATAACCCATTACCTCCTTTTTAAATTAATTAATGAATTAAGTATTTTTTTTAGTTTGTTTGTTTGTTTATAAAATGAGATTCACTTCCTAACCATGTACCCTCTGCTTGCAGCATGTTGTTGTCATATGCAAGTTCATTGCAGCCTGGTTTATACCGAGTGCTCCCATGGAAGTGAAGAACTGTAGGCTCTCAGATAAACTCAAGAGGCTAAAAGAGGAACTCCAGTGAGTCTTTGATAATACATGCTTACGTGTGACTGCTTAATGCAAGAAACCCCCCCAAAACTGTTGTGCAATAGTGTGACATGTCATGTATCTTCTGAAATGTACCTGTAAGTAATGCTTGTGTCCCCAAAGGTTTCAGAATGTGTCTCTATTAAGTCATGACATGACACACTAAATATGTCAGTGTTATCAAAATGCTTTGTTACTACACGTTACTTTCTTTCAGTTACAGTAATATCATGAGCTGATATGAGCAGTGAAAAGGTGGCTCATTTATTGCCCCAAAGTTAAACTGTACACTTCCCCTAAGTCTCTGATTTTGAGCTGAAACTTTCAAGTTTAACCATCCTGCCCCGTTCACACAGATTCCAACAAGTCGGACAAAGGGCTTCTTTGTCAAGTATTTGGTCAATAAGCAGAATTGAGTTGCTTTAACAGATCCATCTTCCTTAACACAGTTTAGGATGTTTTTAAAAGCTAAACCTTTATTCTGCCTGCAGAACTAATAATATTGATAGTAGCGCTACTAAAAAACGAATTAAGATTTATTTAAACATGCCTATATTAAAAAGGGTATATTTAAATTTGGGTTTTCTCAACATTTTTCATGTAGACAGCCTGACTTCCTTAGCGATTGCCACGTGATATGTTTAAAATAGTTTTCTACACAAATTCAACAGTACTCTAATTTGAAATGTTTAACAGTATTGTTGATACATGATGACTTGTGAAATGTGTTTGTTTTTATTTCTTGCAGATCATTTGAAGCATGACGGTGTAAACGGGATACATGTTACCCGAACAACACAAACCCAGTGTTGACTTGTGCATTAAAGTCTCCAGACTACTGCAGTGTTGCGTCAACTTCAAGGTTCTTAATCATCTCTCTGAGGAGCTCAGATGGAGGCCTGTGGCTGGATTGTCATCCATTAAAAGGACAGTAAAGGCAATTTGTCTTGAAGAAAACCAGTGTACAGCAGCTGATGTTACTGACCGCAACTTTCACGAGATTATTCTTATTCTGTATTGAGAATCCACCACTTGCTTGCTGTAGAAACTCCATATATACGAGCCTGTGTTTTGTATTGAAAGACTAAAGATAATTTATACTGATACTGTAAACGGGGTGTTGACTGTGTTATGCCTTACTGTATACTGTTTTACACAAAAAGCGCTGTGATGATTGTTGCTTTACTACAGGCAGAATCCAATTGTGTATTTTGTAACTCAGATGCAAGAATGTTTTGCTTTATAACATTTTATATCATTAAATACAAAAGAGAAAACATCTGTCCTTGTGATTGTCTATTAATTTAACATGTGAGCATTTTTGAATTTGAAAAGCCACGGATAGGAGTAGAAGCCATCACTCGATTCAGTGGCAAAAAAGCCACACGTCTTTTGTCTTCAAGTTTGATTTTCAAGAAAAATACACATTGTTTTCTTCCCTTAACAAAACTTCTTTGATAGAGCTGCAGGTTGTTCAGGACACTTCCATGAGGCTTCTAATTCTTCACATGTCACACAGTTGCTGACTCAGTTGCACTGGCTCCCCATTAACTTATAAGTCCACTTTCAGATTCTGATTTCTACTTTTAGAGGTCTGCATGAAGCAGCAACATCATACATCAGTGAACTTTTACATCCCCAGCATGCCCCTGAAGTCATGTGATAAGGGGCAGCTGCATTAAGGTAACCTTGTGTTTCTAGCATTTTGTTGCAAAACATGTTTGTTTGTTTTTTTAAACAAAACATGTAAGTTGTAGAATGTATGTATATATTTATTTAATAAAATTGTGTATTGTAGAATGTTGGTGGACGGTTAGAATCTGAAAAACCTCAACCTCAATTTTACCTGACAGTAAAAAACTGGTTTAGAACTTAAGAGCTGCGAGTATTTAATGCTGCCAGTTGTCATCAGATGAGTGTGATTGTTTGTGCTGTGAGAAGGCTTGACATGTGAGTAACTGTCACAGCCAGAGCTAAACGGGCAAATAAATGCCTCTTGCTTCCAACATACCTTGTCTTGGTTTTCCTCGCTGTAAATTCAGCCGCAAAAGGTTGCAGTGCTATAAAAATAACATTTTACTTAGTTACTCACTAATGACTTTATTTATGACATTTAGACTTGTGGTAAGGTCACAAAAGAATGCAAACGCAATCAAAAGAACTGCAGGCCTCATTTGGCTCAGTTAATGTCAAAGTTCTTGATCCAACAATAAGAAAGAGGCAAAAATAGCATCCAGGGGAGTTCAAGGAGAAAACTACTGCTGACCAAAAATAACACAAAGGCCTCCCTCACATTTCCCAAAAAACATCTTGATGAACCCCAAGACTTTTGGGAAATATTCTACAGTGATGAGAAAAAAGTGTAACTTTTTGGAGGCTTTTTGTCCCGTTACAATTGTCATAAAACTAACACAACATTTCACAAAAAGAACATCATTCCAACAGCAAATGTGGTGGTGGAAAAGTGATGGTCCGAGGCTGCTTTGCTGCTTCAGGAAGACTTGCTGAAATTAAACCATGAATTCTGCTCTCTGCCAGAAAATCCTGAAGAAAAACATCTGGCCATCAGTTTATGTCCTAAAGCTCAAGTACACCTGGAGTGGATGAGTAGCTGTCCAAAGTTAAATTTGATTGAGATGCTTTGGCATGACCTTAAACAGACTATCTATACTTGAAAACCATCCTGTGTGGCTGAATTAAAACAAATTCACAAAGAGGAGTGGACCAAAATGCCTTCACAGCGCTATGAAAAAGTAAACACCGGTTATTACAAATACTTGCTTGTATTGTCTTTGTCTTCCTTTACGGTCTGAATCAATGACTGTTTTTCTACAGTCATTGGTCTGAATAATAGAAGTCTAAAAAATATGCACAAAAAAAAGAAAAACAAAAAGGAAATTGTGAAGGGGTCAAATACTGTAAATTTTATCTGTAATAAAAAGTTATTTTAAAGCTTTAGGTAATACATTTACTTGTGACAAAGTAATTCAACGCACCTTTTACAAACCCTTTGTTAATAAACAACTAATATTATGTAGGTGTTTATTAATTTCTATTTTACCAGGCATTCAAAATCTAGAGATTCATAATCTCTATTGCCAGAGCTTCTCGGGCCCAGATGGCGCCTGTATATTAGGTGTCACACATCTAAACAGCAATACTAAAATAAAAAGTTGACAATAAACCATTTTGGTTTCTGTTCTCTCTGTTACAGTATTAACATACATCCTTTTTAGCCAGTTTTCTTCCTGTACAGGAAGTTAAAGTGCAAGGCAGGTAAAAGTCGGTGGGTGCGTCACATGACCAAGGGCCAGCCAATCGGCAGGAGAGCTTCAGGTTTTTCCAGGTGCAGTTAGTGAACCGCAAGGCTGTCGTTTGCATATCCGCCTCGACTCTGTTTGTAATAATAAGCCAGGAAAGTTGTGGTTTAGTGATGTAGTTAAACAGAAAACTCTGTACTCGGTTCAGTGTTCACCTGAGGACGGAGGAAGAGGGAAACAGCTGCCCGCTCATGGCTGTGATTTTAGTGGCTTTCACTTTGATGTGCTCCGGGTTATGGGACAGAGGTTTACTCGCAGTCGGTAAGGGTGTTATTTACTTATCACTTTTTAAGGGCAGGTTTAGAGTTTGCTTGGAGCACCTGCTTAACAGCTCCACAGCTGGGAGCTGTGGCTGTATTCAATGTATTCATTGTGGATGCGTTTTTATTATAAACTATTTGTCGCGGTCATAGATGCTGATGAGTATGCTAAACATACCAGGTCAATGCACATGTGGTCATTGCGTGCACGCATGTCACTGTCACGCAGTCACATGCTGTTGCCCGGCAACAAGACCAGAAACGGACTTTAGACCCTGATGGGTTGAAAGAAAAAAAGAGAAGAAAAGGAGGAAAAGTCAAAAGGAGGAGCGAATATTTGTTGGTTTTTCCTTAACGTCACAATGTGCGCATGCGCTGACCAACTTGACCGACAGGTTAGGATTTAATAGAGCAGCAGCTGACATTAGTTTATCCGATGTGTTTAATTTGGTAGGGCTCATTTGTTTACACTGAATACGCTGGTGTTTTTCTTGATTATTATTGTTATTTGAATCTATTATTTTTAATCTAAATCAGGTAAACACTCCTTTGCTCATCGTCTTCATGGGTGAAAGTGTAAACAACTTCACCTTCATACATCATTAACCTCTTACTGCAGGCCCTAAAAACTACACAGTGTCGTGTCGCTCCACAGAGTCTGTGCAAGCTGCTTGTATGCACAGACTGTATGCAAAATGTTTCTTTAAAAGGAAGTAAAGCCAGTTTCGGGGGATTTTGGCCTGCATCCATTTGATCATACAGCATGCATCAGGAGTAGATTTGTGCTAATACTGTAGCCTTATTACTTTGTGGTTTGTTTATGGGCCAAAGTAACATAAATCCCATTCATACTAGATTGTTGGGCATCTGATTCAGTTTTTAGTGATGCAACAGTGCGTGGTGTCATGTTACCTTACATAACATGATACCGGATCAGGAAAAAACAGGGGATAAAGGAGGGGAAAAAACAGTATTGACCATCCTGATCATGTTTTGTATGCTTTGTGGTCTCATTTCAGGAAGCTGCTCTCAAGTCACAGTGTAGAACAAAGGGATACTCAAAAATCCTCAATTCCCTCAGCTATTTGATCACTTAACCCTGACAGGATCATTTAGATTAATTTATCTATGATTGCTAGTTTTTAAACACTTCTCCTTGTTAATCTATTAATTTATTTTATTTATATATTTTTTTTATTTAACTTCATTGTTTGTTGATCTGTGTCTTCTACTGGAACAATGTTTGTGAGTAGTGTTTAAAGAGTGTAGGCTGTGTGAATTTGACTGTTAAATAGGTTGTGTGGGTAAGATGCAAACTAACTGCCCTTTTGGGGATTCATAAAATTAATTGAATCTAGATGTAAATATAAATATTAAGTCTTTTAATACTTTGAGGTGTAGCCTACAGATTTTATCTTAGGGATACGAATGCACTGACACGGACTGAATACTCTGTCCTAAGTAAACCTCTGTATTTCTTCTCTACGAAGGTCAAACTTGCGTGGATGAAAGTAGGTTTAAAGAACAGGCGGCATTTGTCGGGCATCCATATCAACTACAGTGCCCCCTGAAGATTGTTCAGAGCACATCTCAAACACAGCTGACCTGGCAAAAGGACTGCGTGCAGCTCCCTACAAATGAGAGCAAAATCTACCTGGACTTTAACAGCCTAAGTTTGGAAGACCAAGGAAATTACACCTGTAAGCAACAGAGCAACAGCACGGTCACATTTACTGTGCGTCTCCTAGTTAAAGGTAAAGTAATGTTTCAGTGTGCTAGAGTAATGAAGTTATTTCAAAATCAATGAGCTGCTGTAGAGTTTGTGTGTATGTGTATGGATACACCTGCAAACAGGTATTTTGTTTCAGCATGCCTTCTAGTAACAGGCTCAGGTGCTACCTGGCATGAAGGCCTCTATTGTCTGGAGATCTTGCAGTGAACATGGATAACAGCTGTGTGTCTTTACAGAGTCTCAGTGCTCCAAGGCTCCAGAATTTAAACCTAAAGGGGGCTCGACAACACTCTGGGAAAATGTGGGATCCACTGTGAAACTGAACTGCACTGCTCTCCTCTTCTGGGACCCAGCAGAGAAGCAATGTGACACCACATTGCAGTGGAGTAAAGATGGTCATCCCCTCAATAACCACACACTTTCCTCGCTGAACACATCATCATGGTGATTTGAAGCCGTTGAAAATTAGCTTGGCGAAAGTTAATAATGTACCTGTGTTTAGACTTGTGCTTAATCTTCTGTCTAACTATATCAGGTCTCCCGGTGCCAACCAGCTGATGGTAAATAGCTTCCTAGTGATCACCCTCAGAGAGCTGGAAGATTTTGGGCTGTACAGCTGCACAGTGAGGAACATTTCTGCTGACTTCAGTCTGAAGAATCTAGGTAAAAAAAGTTTCTCAAATAGGAGTTGAGGCTATTCAGGATACATAATGGGTCTATTTTCCATATTTAAACATATTCTTTAAATACTAACTATTTAACGGAGAAATTCCATGTACTCAGCTAAGGGTAGTTTGTTTTCTTTTAAATGGGGTTCTTTGAAATTTTGATCCACAGTCAGTGGGTTACTTCCAGTGGATGGCATTAGGCTTTGCATGTACTGCTCTGGACACAGCCGGCAGCTAAAAGAAGTTAGTTTAAGCGTACACTATATTTTCAGCCCTTTCCCTGCAAACTTAAATATTAAAGACTAACTAAAGTGCTTACACAGGACCATCAAACTCAACAAACACAGGAATCTGACTTGATATGCTTGTGTAGCTCTGTCTTGATTGATTAATTTTTGATAATGAGTTAGTTCAGGTCCAGACTGATGCTTTAAAGCACTATAGTCATATATTTTGTGAGCAGTAACTACTTTTTTTTTACATGGTAAGAATAAAATGAAATAAAATGGGGCAGGGATAGCTCAGTAGGTAGAGTGGTGGCCCCATGATTAGAAGGTTGGGGGTTCGAATCCACTGACTGCTACCCTGAGGTACCCCTGAGCAAGGTACAGTCCCTACACGCTGCTGCCCATTGCTTCACTGGGTGAATGGATTAAATGCAGAGAGGAATTTCCCCACGGGGATCAATAAAGTATACATCATTGTTATTTTAAAAAAAAACAAAGACTAGGAAAGAAACTATTTCTGTGCAGTTGTGGTCAGACATTCACATATACTCTATAAATATAATGGTAATTTTGTGCTTTTAATTCTTTGAGCTGTTCTTTTTCTGGGGTGGAATAATTATATATCATACATCTTTAATCATTTAAATTGAAAAAACTGTGGATTTTTTTTATCTTGGATTTTCCCTCCAAAAGTTTACTTGCAGTCTCAAATATACTGTATATAAAAAATTGTGCCACTATATATGTTGTATAATATAAAAGCTTTTAATTGGAGTATTACCTTTATATTCTCCATTGATTTTCCTTTTGTTTCTGGTATATATGTTCAGGCAGCCCCAGTCACACAGGTGCTGTTATTGCAGCCGTCATCCTCCTCCTGTTCCTGGCTTTAGCTGCTGTCATTTACTCAAGGTGCCACCTGAACATCAAACTCTGGTACAAGAACTCATATGGAGACTATGAACTCAATGGTGAGACCTCTCTTGAATTTAAATTAAGTTGCCACACTGATATTTTTGTATTAACAACACCTGGATGTTTGTGTCTGAACCTTTTCAGATGGGAAATTATATGATGCCTATATCTCATATGTGAATAATGACTATGACAGGAAGTTTGTCAACTTTGTACTCAAACCTCACCTGGAAAATATAAATGGGTACAAAGTGCACCTCAATGACAACGATATACTACCTGGTGCAGGTATGATTATATTCCCACACTGCAGCGCTACTATTGCTTCTGTGTTGCTTACCTCATTCATGCCTGCTTCATGATCAGCATATATAATTTTAAGTAACCCACTGAAATGTACAATCATGAAAAACATAATTTTTATAGGACACTCTGAATCAGTAATTTTCAGAACCACATCAGAGCAATAACTTCTTCATGAGTTTATCAGTCTCTCACATCGTTGTGCAAGAGTTTCGTCTCACTCTTTGTTGCTTTAGTTCATTGAAGTTTGTGAGTATTCGTCTATGCACAGCTGGGGCATTGCAGCACCTTTATTCTTTTCTTTTTCAAGCTTTCTCTTGTATATTTACCGCTGTGCCTGTTGCATGACCCAATTTCATACCAGGCTTTAGCTTTCAGACAGATTGCCCCATATGTGATTAGATATGGTTAAAGTGCTGAAAGCCAGCACTCCGTATAAAGCATAGAAAATCAGTCAGATAGTTGTCCCTGTCAGAAAAAGACCAAAAATATACGTCTCACTCTCTGTCAGATTGCCTGTCACACCTGTAGACAGAGTGAGAGTTAATGTATAACAGCTGTCTTTGACTGTCTGAGTTCACATCTTTCAGGAATGTGTGAAATTGAAGAAGTCAAATTCATCTTTAACCTCCTAGGACCTGGTGTCCACATATGTGGACATCACGTTTTGGGTTGTCTAGACCAAAATACTAAATTTTGCT